GACTTTCTACAGAGACCCTAAAGCATGCTGTGACTTTTCTGGAGGCTCATTGAGATGAATGGGGGAAAGTCACGTGAGAGGAGGCAATGCCTCCGTCGCGCTATAATTGCATATGATCGGTTATGATTGGATGTGATTGGTTCGTGTGATAAATCCCGCCTCTTGTTTTCGTGCGAGCTCTCGGCCTGAATTAAGAAAATGATAATTGACTAATTATAAAGTAAACAACTCTCCTGCTTAGATATCACGCTTAGATATCACATCAAAATGAAACATGAAATGACTTGAAAACGTGATGACTGTGTCAGTTTTTAGTGAGCATTCAGCTTGATGAAATGAATGATGTATCTTCGTGCTTGTGACAAAGTTTACAGGGCTTTTATGACGATGACCCGAAAATAAGTTGACTATTAAAAAGAACAGCTGAACATCAGTTCACAAATAAAAAACTGAGTGTCTATTTACATGTGCAAATAGCCCGCCTTGTTGGCAGAGGCTATTTACACTAACTCCGCCCATCAACGTGTGATTATAAAGCATTACAAAAGACTATCATCTAATAACAGCTCCAGTGGCACAGATGGTAAAGTACGTGTTGAAGTCATTTTTGACGCGATCGACCTGGGTTTGAATCGCATTTTGCCTAACTTTTTTTTCTACTTTTTCAAATCAGATATCACGTCGTTGTTATTGTTATTATTGCATACTGTTTTATAATGTACTACAATACTGAGGTGCAGATAATTGCCACTATCTGCAATAAGTAGTATAAATAGCAGAAAATGCTAGGTGTAAATAGAATCTATAGCTATTTGCATTTAGTGTAAACATTAAGTGTAACAAGGACATGAATTATATATATTATATATAACTGCCTCCTCATTTTAAAACACCACCGCACGCCACTGCTCTCGCGGTACTTTGATGTCATAAGCCGACCGGTCTGCGCAGCGCCGATGCATCTCGAACGAGCCTAGTGATGCAAAATCCGGTTCATTTCCGCGAACCCGTTCTTTTCGGACAGTTCGGCTCATTGAAGAGGTTCAAAAAGCAGATTCATCGGTTCCTGAAGCAAATAAAGTAATGATGTCACTAAACATTTCTTTTCTAACAACCCAGTGCCATGTTGTATCAATGAAACATTCAAATAAAGTCATTTGTGTCAACACATATTATACATTAAAATAAAAAAGTTATTTGTGTGAATGCATATTGCTGATTATTGCCTTTCATTCACTTAATGGTGTCAGTGGTCAGTTTCATTCACGGATCCTTTGTCAGATACGACTGACCAGTATTGACTAGCCTACAACTTGGATAAGATTCCTAAAACTTTCGCACCTACAGCACACATTACAGACACTGATGTAGAGGTTTGCATTCCCGCGGCTCACCCGACCAGATTTTTTGCGCCACGGGATTAAATTCCTGAATAAAACGCGGTAGCGCTCGGTACACTGTGGTGTAATTTGAACGGGAGCGGGCGGTCTTACAATATCCCGTTCCCGACGTCCATTCAGAACAGCATATCTGCGCTTTATTCTTATTGACCACCGGTACAGCTTGCGCTCAGGACTGTTATGCACGCGCTGCAGGCATGCTTTCTGCGTCACGCATTTGTGCGGTCTGTGCGCAGCATGTGCATAAGGATGCTCAGAACAGGCTGTACCGGTGGTAAATATACGGCCCTCAGACAGAACAGGCACCCGCGCAGACCTCTACACTGATGCACAAACACAGATATGTTCTACATGTCTAAAGTATAAATAAAGGATACACCAGTCTTATAAACTCCTTGATTTTGCTTAAACAACTTAAAATATAATTGTATAATTGCATAGTATCGTCGACTCACTCATCAGAATCCTCAGTAACTCTCGGCAACACTCTGGTTGAACCGGCTCATTTGGTTCTTTTTGAGTCCTTGGTAACTCTCTGCAAACTTCGACAGTTGGTTGAACTGGCTCAATGGGATCTTTTTGAGTCGGACATGCTACTTCGGCTGTGCGTCTTCCGTCGTCAACCTGGATCTAAAGTTCGATTCAGTTCAATTTTGTGAACCGGCTCGACCAGTTACTTCCTGAGAGCCGACTCAAAAGAATGATTCGTTCAAGAATCGACCATCACTAATTGGAGCTGAACTCAAGACAGTGGCCCTCCAGGACCGAGTTTGGACTCCCCTGAGATAGATGTTTGCATGTAAAAATTTTCACTTGCTGTAGGTTTTTTTAAGTAATAAATGGAAAAAAAGTTATATTTGTATTGCAATATTTTATTTTTTTCCATGGATCTCCGATTTGATTGGTTTTTGACAGTTCATTAAATATCAACGGCTAAAAAGTAACTAGTACTCTGAGTAGTTTTTGAGAAAAGTACTTTGTACTTTTACTTAATTCCTTTTTTAACACCTGTACTTTTACTTGTAATTGAGTATTATTTCAGCAATGTAACAGTACTTGTACTTTAGTAAACATTTTCAGTCTTCTTTCTACCACTACTAATATTTATATTTTATTTGATTTCAGCTTTATTTCAGTTAACGAAATCGATTTTTTTTTATAGTTTAGTTAACTATGACAACAGTGCATGTAGGTGCAAATTCCATGTAGACTTCATGATTTCAAATAACAAATGAATTGTTTTTTGGACTGATACGGAGCGACTAAATCAGATTCAATGCTGCATTTCTTCTATACAAAAGCATCTCTGTTGACGGTCTTTTACCTTGCCTTAAACCCTTCAGAATTCTCTTGAATGGTTTGATGGCATTTCAAGAGAAATTTTGTTGCTTCCACTCTTGTTCTTCATTATGAGGAACAGACCAAACTCTTTCATTAGTGGCTGGTGAAGTGGACTGACAGGAGAGAATTCATAGGGGACAAGCTGTAGTGTGTAATTGGGTCCATCCTGTCCATCTTGTCCTTCAGAGAGGTCACTTGAAGTCAAAGTTCTCTACAGGAATTTACTGTAAAAGTTTTCTTGTTTACTGTTTGCGTCTTTTTGGAAGTATGTTTGCATATCTTCTTAATTGTATTTTATTTTTTCATTTCATTATTTTATTCTTTCATTCATTTCATTGCCCCTTATACCTTATAGTATTATGAAAGAACCTAAGTGTGTTTTGTTTTTCTTTATCCTAAGTCACACAAACCCACATTGACAACCCTGCTTGAAAAAAACTCAAATAATAATACTTGAATAGGGGCTGTTTAAGAAAACAACACAACAAAATCTTGACTTGAGTGACACCATCTCAAGAAAATATGGCAAGGCATTGTGGGTAGTGGTGAGAATTCCTGGCCACCTCTGTCTGATTAAAATGTGATGTGTTGAAAGTTGGCTTTGATCTTAGAAAATGTCTGCGAGGGGAGCAGTTGGAATTTAGCTTGGGCTTTTCCCCTCCCGCTCTCTCTCTGTGATTTGGCCCTGCAGATGGAGGCTGATAGATAGTGTCACCATTCATTTCCTGCTCAAGCTCCTACACCAATCTGTGCAGACACTAGACCTGGAGCAGGGATCCAAAATTAATAGATCACATGCCGAGCTTTTGTGGCTTGTGCAGAGCTCTGTTTACTTCTATGCTTGTCTCTAAATGTATGCATGTGCTTTGGATACATGCACAGTTAACATGACATTTTGCAAATAACCCCAAAGACTTGGAACATCCCACCCCACGGAATGAATGGAAGAATACACCATATGAAAAAGACTCCTAATGTGGTTAAATGCTTTTCTTTGTCTCTGATTCCAGGCCTCCTGCACTGGCGGCCAGCCCGGCATTTTCTGATATCTCCCTCATCCGGATCACGCCACACCGGAACCCTTCAGTGGGGGTGGAGTCACCCTTTAACCCCCCACATCCATACATTAACCCCTACATGGACTATATCCGCTCACTGCACAGCAGTCCCTCTCTGTCCATGATCTCTGCGGCCAGGGTCCTCAGTCCCGCAGATGGTGAGTACCTCAGAGACCTGTTCTGCTCCTGCTAAAATTATTTTAAATTCTTCTAAATGTCAGCCTATTGTGAGCAGAGCGGACAATTCCAAGCATTAACTTCTAAATTTTACACAACACATGTCTTTCAGAAACTGATAATACCTTAAATGAATCTTAAATTCATTAAATCAATCTATCTATCTATCTTTACAGTTTTATCCAACTATCATTTTGTCAATCTATCTGGTGAGGCCCGGGATATGGCATTCGTATATCCCTCATCTTATCCCTCATCTGTCTGTGATGCTTCTCTCTGGAGGGGGGAGAACATAGTTTGATCGTTTGGCTGGGGTCACTCTCTTTGATCTTTGTCTCATGTCAGCAAACCTCTGGAGGAACATTCAACGTGTCAGGCAGAATCTAATGATCCTAAGTTAAGATGGGGATGAAGTTCAAGGCCATGGTTGAGGGCGGAGGGCACGATAAAGGAGGGAAGGATGAGTAGTGGGAATGGTTTAGAAGATGGACTCCAGAGGCCTGCCAGGAAGCCATTTTGGTTTTATGTGTGAAGTCAGACTGGGAAATCCATTACAGGTCAGCAGAGCCTGCTGTTTTTAAAGAGTCTCTGCAGTATGCTGGCCTCTTGGCCTTCTCCTCAGGCATGGAGTTTTAATTGAAGCCTGAAGCACAAATACCAAAGTGGGGCAATCAGAGGGGCCTCTCACAGGCCACAGATAATCATGACTGTATCGAACTGTGGTGCTATCTAACATCAGCCAGGTTTTACTATCTACCATGTGTCAAAGGAAGACATGAAGCATTACCATATAGTTATTAACTATTCCCAGATAAGAACCCCTATAAGGGCTAAATTAAACTTGTTGATGCAGTTTGGTTTGATGTGACCTTTTGGTGTTCTTGGTAAAAAGCCATTTGTTGAGTAAAATAAATCAGATTGTATAAATATTTAAATTGCATATAAGTAAGTTTTTATGCTAACTCTTTAATAACAGAATTATGTTTCTACTCCAGTTTGTTGTATTTGAATGTAAACATTCAAATGGTGTCTTGTAACGTCGACCAGAGTGTTTTAGGATTTTCCCAGATGTCAGGAATAAAAGAAGGAAAAGAATACTCATAGACGAGAGAGTTGGTGATCCCATACGTCTTTATACGTAGCTTCAAATGATCCTCGCACTCTCCGCATACATGGAGGAGAGTGGGGGAGAAATTACAAGACACACTTTGGCAGAATTACAAATAAAAATAA